GCCACACTAGATTTGCCACAAAAGGGCATACATTTCGACGAGTGGAATGTAAACAAGTCAGAAGTTGTGATAGGGCGGCAGTGGGAGAAGAGGATAAAGAGTAGATAGATAGACCAGGACAGAAAGAAGAGTGATAGTGTAACCGTTTTCGGCAGAACGTTTGTCGAGGGATTGACTTCACTTGTCTATTTGACATGTTCGTAGTTTGGTGCGGAGAATAGCAAAACTCACTGAGGATGCCGGCGAAACGCTTGAGAATGTACCAAGTTAACTATCTGATGCTGGGAATCATGACAACTAATATGGACTAGGTGGACCTGACAACAAGACCAAGTTGCCACAACGAGGTTAACCCACTTCTATAAATCTAATGGAGACTTAGACCATACCAGAGGCCACAACATCTTGGTCTTCATATCTGTAATTTTTTGAGTTAAAGCACTTCACTATTCAACATAGGATGGAGAGTTTGGTTACGGGCCTGCCACAAATGTTGTCATATTATTCACAATCTGATTCCCAATGTTTGTAAACTACTTATTACTAACATAATTTCAGTAGCATGTTGAGTTTAGTGGTGAGTACGATGAGTATTAGCACGGAAACTTAATGTTTGCGTTGAGTTCCATTTCGTGCAAAAGTTTAAAATGAAGAAACGTGTAGGCTAGTCTTACCAAAAGGGTCATCTATTCGTCTTTCCTGAGGTATAATGCCGACGCTCCTCTCGAAGCAACCTCCTTTGGATCTTATAAAACTATGATGAGCTTTCGCCTGCCACTTCACTGGACATGCATCATTAGATCTGAGACAATTTATTGCCACAATTTCGCATCAAAAAAGTTCATACTTAAAAAGCAAACATATCAGTTGTGAGTTAATGTATCGAGTATGAGGAAACTTTTGATACAGCCTGGGACATGTCGAAAATGCGGTCAGCCCTGCGGATCGTGATGCACAAGGCAGTGCAAGTACTTGACGCTTTATTGGTACCAGTTGGAACGCGCATATCACAAATACAGTTTTTTCCAGATTGTTATTATATGAATTGACACTGATCAACAAAGAAATCTGGCTTCTGTTAATCTTTGTACATCCCATATCTCTAAAGTGTGCGTTGTCCAAAGTGGAAACCTTTCTCTCCCAACGGATTTCGAGCAAAAAGGTAGCAAATCGAGTAGCGAATGCAACTTTTGAATATACCCCACCTTACATACCTGTCGTATGTGTCCTGTAAATGTGCACCGCTATTGGATGCAATTGTGTGTCTGTGTGTGTGTGTTTGCCTCCCTGCCTTATCACTTTGTGCGACCATATTAGAACAGATCGCCTACTCGGACTTCAGAAAAGCCTGAAACCAGCAGTAAACTGAGGCCCATCCTCCAGATTTTGCTTCGAAAGCGGCGTCGATGCAGTTGTATTTTCAGCGATTTCGTCATTTGTCGTCTGAAGCAAAGCAGACTTTTTGTTTTGGCAAAATATTTGGGCCTGTTCGCGGCATAACTCAGCTCCTCTCGTCATCTGGTCAACTTTGGATGTGAATAAACTTAATTGCTTCCTTTTTCATGCAAGGTTTAGTATCTAAACTTGACTAGTGGGGATGCGTTTTGATTAAGGTTAATTAATTTTTGCTCACTTTTTATTAATTATGACCGTTCTTGGGTCTGAGACGGCAGTAGATGAAGCCCAATGCGGCGAAACTAAGGCTTGGTTGCCTTGCCATCCTTTGTTTGTGTGTCTTAAACTCGTCTTGCCTTTACAATCTCCACGGCGTCTCAAACTTGAGGCGTGGGCGCAGACAAAAGCCTGGCGACGAGAAAAAAGGCCATCGGGAAGACGCCTTCCTTAATGCTTCAGTGCCATGGGCTTAATCTGGCCAAGCCGGGTTGGCGACTAGATGCCCACAAGCCCAGCTCAGCCTCGTCATTCAGCCAGTCTCTTCGGTTCGTTTGCCCACCTGCAATCCGTTTAGTCTTCTTTCTCTATTCATCATTTATTTTCTTCATTTTCTTCTTCCGATTCTTTTTATTCTACTTAAACTACTACTTCTTCTTTATCCTTTTCCACTACTTCGTCTCCTCTTTGTCTCCATTTTCCTTTCATATTTCTTCTTTCCTTGTTTCTTCCTACTCTTCCCATTATCCACTGATTCTTCATCTGTTATTTCTCCCCTCTTTTCTGCTTCTTAATCCTCAATTTTATCTTCTTCTGTTTATTAGTTTCCTCCAATTCTTCTTTGCTTACTAATTTTCTTTTTTTTTCTTCTGCTTCTTTTACGTTTCCTTCTTCCACTTCTTCTTCACCATCCTTTTCTTACACTACTTCTTTTTCTTTTCTCCTAAAACTGCTATTTCCTGTTATTCTTCTTCCTTTTATTCTTTTTCTTCATACTCTTCTATTATTTCTTCTACTTGCCCTTCTTCTCTGTTTCGTTCCACTCCATTGGCCCTCCCTCTTGCCTCGGCTCGGCAATTCTACACTTTCTTATAATAGTCCCATCCTTTTGGCTTCGTGCCTCCTTCCGCATTCTCCGCGGTCTCCCTGAGCGACCCATGCAGACGTATTCACATTCGTCTGTCCTGAGGCCTCGTGGTTTCCACCTTTTCGGTATCTTCTCCAGCTCTATCTGCAATTGCAGACACACTCTCTACAGCTCCTCCCCGCCTACCTACCCTCTTGCCCTCCCTCCAGTCAATATCTTCCCCAGCTCTCTCACCCAACAAGCACATCCATTCCTGCCTCCCACGCACTCGCTCACACTCTCCATTCACATGTCCTCTCGTCTCTCTCGGCGAGACTCGACCAACTGCTGTACAAAGCATGCGATCGCATCGATTTTCGCGCTTACCCAAGAGACTTTCATCGGCATGACTGCCATCACTTCGCCGTTGGCATCGATTTCATCAGCTTCCGTTGAGGCTCGTCGTCAGGGCGTGTGGTTCGCTGTCACAGAGTCTGCTGGTCCGGACCGTCTAGACCAGTGTGGTCAAAGGGCATGAAAAAGACGCAAAATCGCACGGAAAACGTCCGCAAAGATTTTAGTCGACAATTGGGGGAGAAGAAGGAGCATGGTACGCCTGTGAAAGTGAGGTAACGAGAAATTCGGTGAGTTAGTCACCTGGGAAACTGCAGTGACGGTATGGCTGACTCCAGTTTTTCGGTGGCGCCACTGTGACAAGGAACTACCCATGTTCGGAGTGAATATATTTACTGGTTATTGAACAATAAATGTATTCAGCCTAGATCGCCCAGGTTGATTTACCGACTGAAGTTCCCATCCGATGGGAAAAAGCCTGATATTGCAATTAAATTTCACTTGGAGCTCTCGTAATTCATTAACCAACGTCGCTTCACGTAATTTTGGAACTGATAATTTAGTTTGTCCACAATCAGATGAGCATTATACATAGTCTTGCCCCCCAGAATATTCTTTCACCTAAGCTGGATTGAGGTTTGGACGTCGCCTTCTCGGGATTCAAACCTAATTCTGGGAGGTGACATTTGTCCTGTGACCCACAAGTGCCCACTGGATGAGCAATAGAGTAGTA